TGATTTTATTATCTTTATTTAATAAATAATTTTAATTAATTGAAAATATACTTGAATTTTGAATTTTCGTACTATTTTCTTGATTGTTGAAAGGGTGTAAAGAATATACCTGCAATATGATATTTTCCCTTAAATTAAGCCCCTATTTGACAACTATTATTTTTATCTCTTTTTCTAACGTACTTATTTTTAACCAAACATTCACACAATAAAATATTTTGCTCATAAATCCAAAAAATTTTCATACTTTTTAATCACGTATTCTTTGAAAAATTACTATTCAAAACTATATTTTCCCTATATAATGGTTGTCAAACATGGCTTAATTTCTAATTACAGTCCATCCTCTAAGCACGCATATGTTATGTTGACCTTCTATTTTCTACTGTCCAAACACACTTAGGGATGGCAGTGGGTCGAGCCGACATGCATATGTAATGTTGACCTTCTATTTTCTACTGTCCAAACACACTTAGGGATGGCAATAAGTCAAACCGAGTCAGCTCGGCCCATGTACCCATGAGCTCGTTCAAGCACAAGCTGAGCCGAGCTCGTGAGAGTTCTTGTTTTTGTTCACATTTTTTATGAGTACATGAGCCGCTCGTGAACTTGACGAGCTGAGCAAGGCTCTGCTCGGCTTGCCAAACGAGCACCTTGCTCGACTCGTCTCGGGAGGCTCATCTCTGAATGAGATCGAGTCCTCCATGGGTCAAGCGTCGATAAGTCGAGCCAAAGAGATACTATGTCCTTTTGCCACCTCTAAACACACTATTATTCAAATCCCACGCCAGTCAAACATGTATTAATAAGAACTATAATGTATGATTATTGAATAACGTTGAATTCTACTTTATGATGTTTTGATATTAGGTAATTGTTTGATTTGAATGCTTGTTATGATCTTAATACATTCAATTAACTGAATGCGAATTAAACTGATGTACGACTCCTATTGAAGTTTAGAGAATGAATAAAAAATATAGCATGTGATAACGGTCACTATGATGTCTTATAGATGTTATGGATTTATCTTTTTAGCATGGTCCAATATATGTTATTGTGATTGCCTGTTTGCATTCGGGATTGGGTTATTATTTAGTCATGCATGGGGATACGTTCATTTCTACTCTGGAAGATTATTAAACATGACGGAACATTGATCTTCATAATCAAATAAATGTAACTTGTGGAATTGACATTAAGATGGAAGAATGTAGGGGGATATGGGGTCCTAGTTCTTTATTAGTTAATCGAGCATTAATAATCATTTCCTCCCAATTAGTTAGATTAGTTTAGTTAGTTAACTTAGGTTGTTATTATCATCACTATCTCATCTACCTTAATAGTGTATTTATATTCGACTATAATTAGGTTAATTGCAAATTACACTAAATACTTATTTCTCTTGTGATTGATATTTGAACTCACGTCTACTTTATTACATGTTATAATATGTATACTCGTTGGATATTAAAATTGACAACGCATGTTGCCCCCCAGATGGATGAAAATTGCTTAATTACTAGTTGTACGACAACATAATCGTCACATGGCGTACCAACTTACCATTAGACATATCATAAAAGTGTTTAATCAAAATATATTGCTATAACCATCATTTTAATAATTTTTTTATGTGTCGCGTAGCTATTATGTGGAAGATAAATTTAAAATTAATTGGGCGACGGAGTTTTAAAATTTAAAATTAATTTAACGTTAAATATCCCAATTAGGATGGATTATAATTTTATAATCCAATTTAGATTTCCCAAAAATTCGTTAACTGGGGATGGAATGTAGACTTTATGATTCCTTTAGACTCATACTGGATTAAATTTTATTCATAGTTTACCGATGTAATATTAGAATGTAGATATTCAATGTTTGGGTTTATTTTTCTAAAAATGATTAAACTTTGAATTGCATCACACGAACCTCATTGAAATTTAAAATGTTGTTAAAACATCATTGAACTTTTTCAAAATACTCTTCACACATCACTTGTTAGAATTTCGTTTATTGGTGTGGATGGAATTGCCTATATGGTCCATGAACGTGACACAATTGCCATCAAATTATCTCAATCAGTGATGGATTGAAACAATTTTAACTAACTTCTACGATGTTTCGATTTTTATAATTTAGTGAGGTCTATATGACATGAACCAAAATTTTGTTATTTTTAGAATATTGTTTCAATAATAGTTGACAGATATGTGTACATAATTACTCGTGATATTGTAGTTGATAATTTAGTACTAATCAACTATTGTTAGCAATCATGTCGTTGATCATTTTTTCGATTACATTTTTTTTTTTTTTTTTTATGTCAAGGATAATTTTGTTGTCTCTGCACTTTTTATTTATTATACTACATTTTTAAATTTGTTTTATTTACTAGAATGGTTATAAGTAAAATGACAAAAACCACCCCCAACCCATTAGACATTCTTCCTTACTCTCATTTTTAGGTACGCCACAAAATCGTGACCTGACACACAAATCATCTCCAAAGATGAATTGGTATGGAAACGTCTATACAAAAAATTCCAATAAAGTCTCTTATTTCGCTGCATATTAAACCGAAGTAGATTGTTTCTAGTCTTGTGCTAAATCGGATTGTTCAAACATAATTTCACTGGCAAATTCTGTGATTAGAATTTGTAACATAACACTTGCATAGCTGGAAACTCTCGTCCTTTAACCTCCGACTAAGGTATTTTTGATTGAATCATGCTATATGTACAATGTTTGTTGACAATGTTGGTGGACAACACCTTATTTGACATCATCATATTCATCTATTTTAAAAAATTATTTCTACATAAGAGGTTTGAATTTTGACAACACATGATTGTCAATCATGTTTGTACACTTAACTTTATTCTTTTTTTTATTACTATCAATCATTATTAAAATTTCATGCGTGTGATCCAAAATTCAATATTTGTAATATCACTAATTTATAAATTAATTTGTTAATTTTCATTTTGTTTATACATAATTTTTCGATAGTATGTAATTTTATATTAATTTGTTGTTTTATTTATTGACTTTTTTTGGGTAAATTAAATTCGTCGATCTATTTATGATCTAGTATTACTAACTAAATAATCGCTCTTAGTCTTTAATTATTTATAAATGAAAAATATTTAGATTTTTAGAACTTGAAAAGGTACTTATTCGATCATCTAACTAGTCCAATGTTTGAATCGACTTTATTTTGAATAATTTAAAAATTGAAAAAGTTTGTCTAAATGGCGTTCAATATGGCCATATGAAATGGTGGAATTTAATCATGACGTGACGATGATAATATAATTATAATTTAGACCATAAAAATGGTGTAGTTTCCAGGCAAGTAGCCTATCGATCTTTCGGTCCACAGATCCACACCTCATTCGACATTTCTAGTAAAGGTAAAATAATATGGAAAAAGAAAAATAAAGGGCCGTAAGTGGACCATATCTTAGACCATGATCGATCCTTCTAATGATTCGGCGTTGGAAAGGTCTGTGACCAATTATGATAACGTGTCTATAAAGAAATTGGATCATTAGTGCTTATTTTCATGCCCAAACATTTTGACTTTGACATTAAAATATTGAATTAATCTAATCATACATAATGAGGTGTATCTAAAGGTATACATCTCCTCACATGGAGTGTGGGGTCTATTCGAAGAAGTGTTTTTTATTCGGGTGAATCTCACACTCCATGTAAAAGGGGTGTACACACTTAAATACACACCTATATACCACTAGCACTACCGTAAAATATTTGTAGTTGATATCACACAAAATAGTAATTAAGGGATAGGACAATAAAAACTTATTTATAACATGTTATGTACTATGATTAAGATTTATATTGTTATACTAATTTCATATTCAGCGTAGATTGAAATTATATGTTTAATAGATTTTAACAAAAATTGATGAAATGTGGGATTACAAAATTGTGAATTCTATGAATATGTTGTTAAGCCCTGTTTGTTTTCCATAAATGTAAGAATTAGAATGAAAAATATATTCGTTACACAAGATGTAGAAATTCAAATATGATAACTTGATGTGATGGATAACAGTCATATTTTTCATTTTTAATGGCCAAATAATGGGAAACAAACAGGGACTAATTGTTGACTTTAACTTAAACTTTTAATTAAATTTTAATCTAAATCAAAACTTGAGGTAAATATATTTATGAGTTATGATTAAGGTAAAGTTGGGGCAAAGAATATTTTTATTTACCTAAAAATGTCGGAACCACAGGAAACATCAAGCAACATGGAAATGCGTAATTAAGGACTTTATGTTTCTATTCTTAAACCATATTTAGTTGAGTCAAAAATTAATTTTTAATAGAATTTGATAAAAATTTAATAAAATATATTATTAAAAATTAATAAAAAATTGTGAATTAGATAAAAGCGTGCTTAACTTTTAGCTGGATGCAATTAATACTTGAATCATGCTACAAGAAGAAGAAGTTCACTTACATTTTGCCACGTCAACGTCGAGACAAATTTTGTTAAATTTTTCTGTACTTATGACTTTATTGTTAATACTTTCCCTCTCAAGAACAAAATGGAAAAACTAACAGAATTACAGACAAATAGACAAGAGCCAACACCTTCACAACTAATAATTAAAGTAGATTTGCCCCTAGGGCATATCTCCCAGTGGCAAAAGGGAGGGCGGATAGGGTTCAGCGTGACAGTGTGCAGAGTTCAATTCCCTGCAACGTGGAATTGACTTTGTTGCAAGCGGGAGTTATCATATGGGTTAACAGCCTTGGCCTATCTATGTGCTCTCCACCCTGGCTCCTGGGAGGCACATCCTGCGATTTACCTCCTCCACGATGGCCCAGGACAGGGTCGGTGGGGGCCCTTAAGGTTGGGGTTCAACCTTTTTTTTTTTTTTAATAATTAAAGTAGAAATCGAACAATAATTAAAAGATAATGCAAATAATATCAAAGCAAATTAAAAGGCTATATGTACATCAGAACTAATTTATACATAAACCCGCAAACTTAATAACTTACTATGAAGATCACAAAAAACACAATCAGAAATTTTTATAATTAGTATGCCCTTGACCAAATAAAATAAAATAAAATAAGGGTTGGGGATTATAATCTGCCCAGTAAAAAGCTAAACTTAACAAGCAGCTGATTGATTGGTGTAAGGATTATAGAAGTGAGGCTTTGGGGCAATTGTAAAAGGACTGTTGGACTTATTTTCACCAACGGCGGGGCCGCCAATCCTCTCACAGGAAGGACACATGGTGAGGGTGGCTGCCGGCAGCTGCATGTATAAGGGTTGTGATAGTTTTTGTGCCTTAAGTTCTTGTAACTCTTTCTGCAGTCTTTTGTTTTGTTCTGTTAGTGTTTCACAGTATTTCTTCAAGAATTCACAGTCCACTTCCGTTTGCTTCAGCTTTGTCCTGTATAAAAGATGATGGATTGCTCAGATTAATTGCAATTATTTTAAGAAATGGTTTAAACCCTGGAAAAAGAAAAATTATTGTACTATATCAAAAGTTAAATTCAATTTTCTTTATTCTTTCTTGGTTTCTTAAAGATGGAATCTGTTCTATTTTTTTCATGATATACAAACATATTATTGAAAAGGGGAAATTTTTTATTGCTTTCCATGGGTTGAAGATGATACCTTGCTCTCCTGTTCTGGAACCAAACCTCAACTTGTCGAGGCCTAAGCTTCAGGTCTCTTGCCAAGTCTTGCTTTTGTTTCTGAGAAACCCAAAGATTATAATCAGGCAATCATATATATATATATATATATAGAGAGAGAGAGAGAGAGAGAGAGAGAGAGAGAGAGAGAGAGAGATTACAGGATTGAGAGTACTGTGTTGCTTAAAGCTTTCTTCCAAAAGGGCAGACTGGGCTTTAGTGAGCCTAAGTTTCTTCCTTCCATTGGAGCCATCTTCATCTTCATCACTAACTCTTGATACAACTTTTTCTATTTCAACCTCTTCACTCCCAACCTCTCTCTCCCTCTTCACACTACCATTAGAAAAAGACGAAGCAGCACTATCTTGTCTATAGAAATCAGCAGACGGATCATTAGAAACCTTGATATCAGAATCCACCTTCTTCACCGTCTGGATCTGATCATAGGTTTCACCAGAAAGACTCAAAGTCAATGAAGGCTCACAATTTTTCCCATCATACTTTTGGGATGATAATTTTTTAGACGACGTTCGTTCAACAGTAGATGAAAAGTTACTCAAGCCTAAAACCAGGCTTGTGTTGCATAAATCATCAACAACCATTTGCGTAAAACCGATTTAAAAAACTTGAAGCTTTTGGCACAAACAGAGGCTATGTATATTTAAAGGTATATATATATATGTAGAGAGAAAGAGTCTTTTAATTTCTGTTTTTGTGTGAAAATGAAGAAAAACAGGAGAGTTTTGTAGAGGGATGGTGGGTACCTCGAACCAATGAACAATCAAATGATGAATAATAAGTAGTTAAAAGAATGAAAAGTCTTGTCTTTTCTTTTTTTCTTTCCCGCACAACACACAAGAGTTGACCATTTGAACCCCACCCAACCCAAGTTTCTTTGGAACGTATCAGTGTAAAGCAAGAATACGTGGATTCACATGGCAATGGGAGACACACATGAAGAGAATGATTCGTCTGCCATCTCTCTCGTCTCCCATTGTCATACCAACTTTCACTGTTTCTTATCAGCACTAACTTTTTATCTCTCTCTTATGATTCTTTTGGGCATTCATTTGGGGTTTCGCCTTACGTATTCATTTGTGTCCATTTGCACCAATGATTAGCCCAAAAACCAGATATTATTGTTATTTATTTATTTATTTATTTACGTATGAGTTCATATCCCCTGTTTCTTAGTACACCATGTTTGATGTGGTTAGTTTTTTTTCGCCCCCCCTTTATTCCAAAGAATGGAATTGGAGGGCAGAACGTAATTGTCCACTGAAAATGTTGGTAACGTGGGATAGGTACATCGTTTTCTTGTTTCTTGTGTGGGAAAGAGAAAAAGAGAAAGGGAAAGGAAAAGGAAAAGTAGGCTAAAGACACTACGGGCGAGTTTATATTAATGGCGATAGAATATGATTCATGAAAAAGAATATTAGGATCTGTGCTTAACTAGAAAGTTGATATGGCGCCGTGTTTGGGACCTACAAATCCGTAGGCTTATGAAAACATTCAATAATGATTGTCGGGTTTTGCTCATGAGAAGTTAGGACACTGAAGATGCATAATTAAATCAAGGTAAACAATATGCACTTTCTCATTGTTTATGGAACCCCATCTTAATAATAATGATGATGATTAAAAAAAATGTTATAACTACTTGAGAATTTGATAAAACTATGAACATTAAATGTTAGCAAAAACAAATGAACCTCCATTTTGTAGGATTTCTTAGAGCTCATTTGACATGACTTTTATTTCTTGTAAAAGAGTTTTTTGAGAAAGTTGCCGTAATTTTTTTCTTAGAAACTAGTTTTTAAAAGAGTTTTTCATTTCGAAACTATTTTTAGATGAATCAAATTTTAATTAGAATAAATACTTTCATAAAATTAGTCAAACATGACCAAAATGCAGCTTTTGAGTATCAAAAGTCATATCAAATGAACCTTTAATCGAAAAAGTAACTTTTGACTTTTTAAAAGAGAAATTCATATCTGAAAAACTAAGTATGACCCAATTCTAAATTAAGAAACAATGTTTAAACTTCAAAAATTAGATACTAAAAATATATTTCATTAATTAAATATAATGAGGTCACAATTTTATAAAATTTGGTCACCAATTATTGTATTAATTGGTCACAAATCAAAATTTTATAAGTCACAAATTATTTCTTGACACAGATCACAAATTTTATAAATCACAACTTATTTAACGATTATAAATTATCAAATTAATTGATCACAAGTTATTTCTTAATCAAAATAGTATGTTTTAGGTCACGTATTATTTATTGGTTGCAATCAACCAAATAATTGGTTACAAACACTCCCACCGCACCGCACCGCACCTCATCCCATTCCCACCCTACCTATGATCATCGCACCATCACCACGACCACCACCACCTCACTAGACAGTGCAAAATCACCACCAGCATGCACCACAACTCCGCATCATCTAAGCCCACCGTCTTCGATATCAGATCTAATCAGAGCAACTAAGGTCATTGCAACATCGCAACAACCGGAGCCATAGCGACATTGCAGCAGACAAGGCTATCATGAGTTCATTGTAGCACTCGGAAGAGCTGTGGCATTGTCACAATTTCGCATTAATCAAGTGTTGCTGCGAGAGGAAGGAGATAGAGCTGGGATGACGATGACGACTGGGAATTGGGATGATGATGCTGTCGCGACTTTTTTACTTACCGACGATGATGATGCTATTGCGACTTTGTTACTTACTAGGATGGCGACGGCTGAAAGTTGGATGTGTGTGAAGAGAGATGAGTATGGAAAGATATATAGAGAAAAATGAGACGGGAAAGTAATTAGGATTTGGGATGAAATTTGGCGGTATTTTTAATATTAAAGATTTAAACAAATATTTGATTTTTGTGTAAACAAACTTTAGATATGGTTTTTGAAGTTGGACTTTGAAAATTTTGGTTGGATGTTCCACTTTTCAAAATCCTGTCAAGTGGACCGTAAATCCGATTTCTTAAATAATCCTATAAATGTTATAGAACTAGAAGTCCGTCCTTGTTTGCATGAAAAGGGGTACAAAAATATTGCAAGTCCTAAGGCAAAGAACATGATGTAAGTGTTATGTCCTAGGTCCTATCAATTTTGGATATAAATACTTTCAATATATAATTAATGTAATTTAATGACATATTTATTATTTAATTAATAGACAATTAAATTAAATAATAGAGTCTGTAGATTCAAATCTTCGTAATTTGTTAATCACAAGGAATTGTGATTGTACGATATAAATTACAAATGATTGAATCATAAATCGTCTGCGGTCGTAAGTAATAACGAAATACAAATATCATTATTACGGATAAGCCATCACGTGTGACATTTCTTACTTGTGAAGTAAGTAGATGATCTCACAAGCTAAAGTGTGGTGACACTTGAATGAACACGTTGATATTTTGTTATAGAACATAACATTGGAGATCTGCCTAGAGATTCCACATGGATAACTATTTGAGTGTCAGTGGTTAATTTTTAACGTTAGGTAGTGAGATTGGTCCTTTGACTTAAGGTCATCATAGTACCTTATATGAGGATAGTCATGTTTTGACGGTGTTAGATGTTACTCTGTCAAGAGTCGCTAATACGGCATCGTTCGGGTGTGTCAAGAATCGTATGAAGGTTGTGAATGACCAATAGAGGATTCTTCACTCTTAGATAGTAAGAGATTATGATCTGTATTTCATTCAAGTCGATAACGAAATCCTTGGCCAAGGTGTACTCATAAGTTGAAAAGGAGTTTTCAACTTATATTGACTTAATAGTGAAGTGAAAGGTATGATCAATAATCAAGATTGACACGCTTCCATATCATTTAATTGATCAGATCATATTGGCGAAGGGATTATAGTTTCACGGTAAACAAACGAGTTTAGTTTTGTCATATCACATGACATTTTCCGTCACATGTATTGTCCTGACACATTGCTAGATGTTAATATAGGACGACGAGTGTAAATTGGTAATAAATTAAATGGGATGTTTTAATTTATCAATTTTGAATAGATCAAAATAATATTGCACATCGTTAGCCATCGTGATCGGAGACCTAATGAATCACATACAAATGAAGAACTGGAAGATTGTGATTTGTCAATTAATTAATTTAACAAGTGTTGAATAAATTAATTAATTGGATTGCTTATTTATAGGCTTAAATTGATTAATTAGATTAATTAATTCACCGATCGGATTTAATTAAATTGGTTAATAAAATGTTGGACCCAATCAGGCCAAGCCCGTTTAGGCTTATGTAAATATAATTAGGGTTTTCAAAATTGTAGAGATTTTTATGGTTCTTGCTTGCACAAAAAGAAAATCGTAATCCTGCAATCTTGTTTTCCGTGTGGATCACCGTTGGAGACTGGACAATTAGACAACTGCGATTGACAGATCAAGATCGTTGGAACACATGAAAAGTAAAGGAGTTTGCAGATTTAAAAAAATGTATGATTTTTATTATAATTTCTATCTAAATACAAAGACGATTTTTGATGAAAAATGAAAATTATTTTAATTTCTGCTATGCATACTAAACCCTGACACATGAAGTCATGAGAGATAAGAATTCATTTCACAGCCCTTATTTTAATATTATACGGGAATAAGCACAGATATATTCGTCTTCTTTTAAAAAAGATTTCAACATGCTATCAAATTTTGTAAATTATATTCTAAAGTTCATTAATTTCGTTAAATATTCTATTCGTTCAAAATAAAATAAAATTCTTTAAAAATTATGTCATCCAAGTACCAAAACCTTTGTCTTCTATCAAGAGCAATTAGATTAGCATTGACTTTGCACCTAACTTTTCACAATCCTACTTCGACACATTTAAGATTTAAATATATTTATGGAAAAAATAAATAAGATGGATCCGCCCCAACTTGCACATTATCGGATGGTTAAGAATAATTACAAATCCTTGATATTCATGATTATCATTTAATCTAATTAAATAATGAATTCATCAATAAAATAGCAAGTGGATGTCCTTAGGTATAATCCCAACTCCTTTATTGCCCGTGTGCACAAAAGTCGCCAAAAATCCAGGTGGTCCTCTTAGTATCATTATAAACAGTTATTAATGAAATTCTCTCGTCAAAAAGAGAAATTGTTTACAATAGCGTCGGCAGTATGTCACTGTGCCATAAATGAAAATTATACACTTGTTTTGGAGTAATATTATTCTACATAATTGTTGGGTACATATTGGCTTATAGGATGATGTGGAAGAGAGAGTGAGGACAAAAGAGACAAAGGAAATAAAATGAAGTCAATTAATCTTATTCATTTCGTCAATGTGTAAATTAATATGTATACATTATATACAAGTAGTATTACTCTTCATTTTGTTGACCTCAATTTTCGATTTCAAAAGTGTGATCGACAGATTCCAACCTACTCTCGTTCATGTATAAAACTCATGTACAGTTGAAGTAAGAGTTTTGTCCAAATCCCTTCTCCGACAATGGGGTGATGACCACGGGCACTTCGATGATTAAGTGAGTTAACTTATATATTTGAACGTGGGATGAACAGTGATGAGAGCCGCATGAATGTGTACTATAACTGAGTTTTAAGAAAATACCAAACTAAGTTACTATTGGAAGTGTAAATTAGCAATAACCATAAATAACAACAAACGCGAGCCTTTATGGTAGAAGGCGGTTGCCATTGGATGGACTTGTTTCAATAGCCAATGTGTCGTCTCATAGATGTCATCTATGCAGTC